ACCAAAATCCTACTTGGAGAAAATACTGCCTCATCTGATATAGCACAGCCTTGCTTGGCAAAGCTCATATTGGGCAAACAATAGGACTTCCTATGATCCCAAAGGAAATTATCTGTCCTTTACTCTAGGATACAGACCAAGAATTCACCCATGTAAGGCTAGTCACTACTCATTAGAAAGAGTCAAGAAGTTGGAGGCATGTCAACTGAGGGCCTAAACCTGAAGTCCCAAGATCTAATTTATGATCAGAAAATTTTAGAACATGAAACAGATTTCCAGATCAACTAGCCCAACCCTTCTAAATTGATTTTAGAAACCTAAGTTCTAGTCCTTACTCTACTAAAAACTGTGATCTCCGAGATTCTTTCCCACTATTAAACTTCACATTTCCAAATGCTGAATATGAATTCCCCTGGCCCTTACATAGAATGCACTCCCTTTCTTCTGATGATCTAACACTAAATGTCATTGTTCAGTCATGTCTAACTCTTTGTGACCCCAGGGACTGTCTCTGGGGTTTTCTTGGCAAGGATACTGTGATGGTTTGCCATTTCCTTCTCCAGTAGATTAAGGCAAACAGAGGCTAAGTGACTTGCCCAGGGTCACACAGCTAGTAAGATTCTTGAGACTGGATTTGACCTTAGGTCTTCCTGACTGCAGGCCCAGTGCTTTATCCACTGAGCCACCAGCTTCCTCCAAGACTTAATAATGTTATCTTAGAGAAGTGCCCCAGGGTTATACCCTTGACTGGATCAACAAGCATGTATTAAGAACCTACTATATGCCGGGTACTATGCTAGGCCCTGTGAATAGAAAAGAAAAAAAAAAAGAAATAGTCCCTACCCTCAAAGACTTTCTGTTCTCTCAAGGAAGCAACATGTACATAGTATACATAAATACAAAATAAATATAAGGTTACAGAGAGAGAAGAATCAGGAAAGGCTTCATGTAAAAAGTGACACAATTCTAGGCTGTTACCCATTTTATATCAAGTACATGGATAAAAGTTTGGACTGCATGCTTTTCAAATTTTCATTTAACATAGAGGTGGATAGATTGACAGAATCAGGATCGAAAAAATTCTTGCCAGGCTAGAACACTGACCTAAGCAGAGCCAATAAGATGAAATTTAACAGACATAAGATAGAAAGTCTTTTGGTTTTTGTTTTTAATAATTCAATTTATCTGAAAAATGTCTAGGGGTTCTAGAGGCCTGCAACATCAATACAAATCTAGAGTATTCTGCAGTAGCCAAATAAACTACTTCAATCAAAGGCTGCATATTAAAAGAGGAATAGATTTTAGTCCTAAAGAAGTGACAGTGCCTTTGTACTCCCCCTCTCCTTGAGCAGACAGACCTATGATTACAGTATTGTGTCACATTCTAAGTGCCTCATTTTAGGAAGGACCTCAATAATCTGGAGAGAGTCTAAAGGAAAGCGACTATAATGCTGAAAAGTCTCAATGTCAAACCATAATGAAGATGAACTTGGGATATTTATTCCAGTGAGAAAAAAACTGAGGAGACATGAGAGCTGTCTTCAAGTAGTTAATGATAATCATAAGCAACAAGGATTCAACTTCTTACGGCTGGTCTCAAAGGGCAGAAGTTATAAAAAAAAAAAACATATTTTAGCTTGATGTAAAGATAAAACTTGCTAATAATTAGAGCTATCCAAAGGGTAAGAGACAGCCTCCGCTGGTAATGGGTTCCCCTTCAGTGGTCTTCCCCCCTCCCCACCTCTACCCCCCACAAAAAAAAGCTGGAGGACCACTGGTCAGATCTTGTAGGGGAAATTCCTTTTCAGGACTGAACTAGGTGCCTCTGAAATTCTGTGATTAAGACTCCTTCCTTCCTTTTGGAACCAGTTCAAGATATTTCTTTTCTTAGGAGGTAGGGTATTTTAGTGGAAAGAACCCTAGGTTTGAATTTAAAGACATGGATTTTAAACTTAATTCTGCTACCTATGTGACCCTGACCAAGTCATTTCCCTTCTCAGGGATCCAGTTTCATCCTTTGAAAAATGTGGGGGTTATATCTATAAGGGATGATCTATGAAAATCATCACAGAAAAATGCTCACATTTTACAGAGAAGAGATGGAGGATCAGGAAGGGGAAATGACTTTCCCAAGGTCACATAAGTAGTATAGTGAGTAGCAAATGTCAGATTTGAGATCAGGTCCTATGCCTCAAAATGCTATGATTTCTCCACTATGAAGGCTGCCTAGGCAGTCTCTGATGCTATAGATGTGCCATTATAGCTCTTAATTTGATTACTGTATAAATTATATCTTCCCTGATTAGCCCCTCCAAATATTCCTTTATTCTTAGTCTCTGCTCACAGCTTATAGACACACTTTATGCTGTCTTGAATTTCTTCATGTGGTTTTTATAACTGATTCAGCTAGTGAAATCCATCCATTGTCTCCCCCCCCCAATTAGCATTCCTTTCATGTAAGGACCCTGTTTTACATTTCCTTTGTTCTCCCTCCATTCACCTCTCCCTTCTTCAAACCTCTCAGCACCTACTCTAAGGTTGTACATACAGTTAGTGCCCAATAACTGTCCTGCTATTAAAATGACTCTCAGATTTAGGAAAGTATTTGGGAACATTAAGATATTCAGTTGCAGGGAGTTGTTCACTTGGGAGAAAGAGGAAAAACAAGTTCCCCGTCAAAATAGGATTGTTTCAGAGCAAATTAATGCTGTCTTTCGTGGACACAGTGTCTTTCACGTGCTTCCTAAATGATTGTTAGGTACTTCTTGCCTTTTGTTGGACAGGAAAGGATTTGAGGGATAGAATGTTGTAAACGCTATCAGAATCAGTCTTTTATCGATTTTGCTTACAGTTTTTTCATCGGTACAAGGAAAAGAATTCATCAAAAGTATGTATAGAAATTACTGTGATATAAAAACAAAAGGCATCAATAAAAACTTTTAAAAAAATAAAATGACTCTCAAATACCTATTTCCAGCTTGAACCTCTTGCTGGAATTTCCCTATTTCTAACTGCCTACTAGCTCTATCCAACCGGCCCTCTTGCCAGAACCTCACACTCACCATGTCCAAACGAAGAATTCATCCCCTTGCCCCCAAACTAGCTTCCCTCATTTCTGTTACTGAATCCTCTATTCGCTCAGCCTCCTATACTTTGAAACCTGAATCCATCTTTGAGTCTCCCTTGTCCCCCTCCCACACAGTGTCACTAAATCCTACAAATTCCACCCAGAAAATGTCTCACATCTGTTCCTCTGTTGGTCTCCAGAACCACCCTGCTAGTCCAAAACCTCACTAATTATTGGGTGGAGAAGTCCAACTGATATGCTGCCTCTACTCTCTCTTTTCCAATCCAGTCCCACCTACTACACTGCCGGATGAGTGTCCCTAAAGCACAGATCTGACATGACTTCACTGATCAGACATTCACTGGCTTGCCACAGCCCACCAAATAAAAGTCCAAATTCCTTAGCCTAACGTTCACACACTACAATCTGACTTCAACCTACCTTTCCAGTCTTCTTTTTCTCAATTCAAATTCAGAGTATGGTGTAAGGATAGAGAGCTATCAGGAAGACCTGGGTTTAACTGCAGCCTCTGACACATAACTGGAAGTGTGACCCCTGGCAAATTACTTAACCTCTCCATTGCCAGGGGCAACGCTCGAAGACTCCAAACTGCATCTGCCTTCCTTACCTAGAGGCGCTAGGTCTGCACACATACAGGTCTGCAGAAATAAACTCACATAACCCATGGTCCAACCAAACTGGTCTTCTACACTCCCACAAGTCTGGTAGACACATTGCCACCTCCCTAAACTTGTTCTCATTTTCTATAGTAAGTAGACTCTCCTCCTTCCCTCATCCACAACTCCCCACCTAATTAACAACCTCTAAAGGAGATCATAAAGCCCATCTCCTCAACAAAACCTTCTCGACTTTCTATTTCCTTTAGAAAGGAAAAGTGTCTGGCATCTTTTATCTGAACATTCTTCACAACCAGCAGCTCTTATCTTCCCCTCTTGGGTAAGATTGTAAGCTTCCAGAAGGCAGGAACTGGGCCTTATTTTTATAGCTCCCACAACATCTGGGGGAAGGCATATTAGGCACTTAATAAATGCCAATTTCCCTTCCACCCAGCACTCATCCCTAATCTTTGTCCAATGAAATCTTACCCTCTCAAGGCCCACCTAAAAAAAAAAAAATCAACCTCTCTTCCCCAAAGCTTTCCAAGATTGTTCCCCAGCTATTATAAATGCTCTCTTGTCTGAATCTCCATAGAATTCTACCAGTCCCAATCTGGTTTATAATCCAACGGTTCCTAGACTTTTCTCCCTTACTAGACTGTAAACACCCAGAGAGCACAAACCCTGTCTGTTAGAGAAAGAAGCACAGAGATCACCCAATACAAAGCCATGTTAAACATGAAGAAACCGAGTCCCTGAGAAGGAAAGTAGCTGGCCCAGTCATAAAGTATTAAGTGGCAGAGCGCAAATTCAAACGCAAGCTTTCTGACTCATCTTTCCATCCCCTGCCCCACTCCCAACTCCAACCCCTACTTCCCACAGGGTTTAGCTGTGCCTTTGGTATGTTCAATTATTTTATTAGTAGTAGTATTGTTTATTGATTGAATGAATGAGTCCCGATGAACTGTCAGTTCCTCAAAGGACTTAGATGTGTACAAACGCGGCAGTCTGTCAGGTGCCATTAGGTTTTCCTGCCAAACCCTCCGAGTTCAGTAAATTCAGTTTGCAACGCTCCAGCTGACTTAGACTTGGGTCAAACAAATATAATATACACTTTCCAAAAGACAGACTGTTAGAGAAGGTTTCAGCCCCAGTGGGGGGGGGGGAGACACTGCTTTCAAAATTAAAACTGGATGTGGGTGGGGGCGGGTTCTCCCCCCCCCCTTTAAATCTAACGGAAGAAATCAAAATACGTCGGAGCAAAGGAGCTGTAGCCCTACCAATAGCGCTCGGCTCTCCAGTCCTAACCTCGGCATTAAACAGGAAATGTACGAAGCCAGGGGGCTGTCTTCGGGAGCAGAGCGTGGAGGAACGGTGCTGGTCCGCTTGCTGCCTTCGCCCAGCCCGCCGGCTCACAGTTCAGAGCCCAGTAAAGGAACAAGCAAACCTTTGAGTTCAACCCCTAGCGCTGCACAGGAATAAACTGAGGTTCGTGGTGGGGGGAGGGGGGAGAACTTGCTCAAGATCGAGAACTAATGAATGGTACACAGACTCACTAGGACCCAAGTCTCTGGCTTCCTAGGCTGGCGCTCGCTCTCCGTGGTAGGGACCACGGTCAAAGCACGGATGGACAGGAGACAAGCGGCCTTATACTGAGCGAGGTCCCAGGGCCAGCGGGTCTGCGAAGTCCACCCTCCCCGCCCCCAACACACACACACACACACACACACACACACACACACACGTTGACATACACACAAGCATGCATACGCTCCACCAGGACGGCAGAAACTGCCCATCCGCCACTTGACGGATGCTCATGTCATCTTCCCAGTTTTTTCCATGTGCTGCTTCGGGACAAGGGAGGGTGCCGGGAGATGCCGGGGCTGGGGGCGACGGTGGAGTGAGAAAGAAAGGGACATTTTTAACCGCCCCCCCCCCGCCTTTGTTTTCCTGCTGTCCGGTCTACCGGGAACTTCTAGTTAATGACACTTTGCTGGCGGCCCTAAGGCAAACCCGGGCTCTCAGGAACCAGTTCCTTTTCCCCTTCTTTTTTGGCTATTTAAAACAAACAAACAAAAAAAAAGGCAAGCCCCGGTCTTTCTGGAGCCAGCTCCCCAGCCCGCGCGCCCTGGAGCGCGCGCGCACGGCACTACAACACACACGCACACGCACCCACATCCACATCCACACACCCTGTCCCAGCTAAGGCAAGCTGCTCAAGTCTGAGGAGCGGGGTGTTTCCCAGCGGGAGCCGCTGGGACAGGGGCCAGAGGCGAGCCCGGTGGAGGGAGCCCACCGGACCAGGAGGGGCAGGCTGAGCTGGGCAGGAGAGGGAGCCCTGATCGCTTACCTCAGCAGCTCCGCACCCTTCCCGCAGGTAGCGAGCTGAGCCGCAGCGATCCCGATTTCCTAGGACCCAGCCGCCGCAACAATGGGGAGGAGGGAAGGGGAGGGGAGGGGGCGGGGGCGCCGGGAGCCGCTGGGCTGGCCGGGCCTCAGAAGAGGAGGAGAGAGAATGGAGGAGGAGGAGCTGGCGGCTGCTGGGGCGGTAGGGTTGGGGGGGGGAGGTGTTGGTGAGAGGGACAGGAGTGAGAGGGCAGGGCCGAAAGAAAGAGTACAGGGAGGTGGGAGAAGGAGGGGAAAGGAGGTGGGGGCAAGTAAGAGAGGAGAGGAAGGGGTGGGGGAGGGGAAAAGTGAAGAAGGGGAAGGGTGGGAGAGAGAAGAGGAGAAGGAGGAGGGAAAGGAGGAAGGGGGCGGAAGGGAAAAAAGAGGAGGAGAAAAAGGAAAGGGGGAAGAGGGAGGGAAAGGAGAGGAAAAGGAAATCTGCGCAGGCGCGTCCTCCCCGCAGCTTTCTCTCTTGCGGGGCCCCCCATCTCCAGCCCCAAAATGGACTATTTGTGGCGCTCCAGGTCCGGCCGAACAAGGACCGCCCAGCAGACCAATGGGACCCTCGACGGTGGGCACTACCTAGGAGAAGTTGAGGAGGGGCCAGGGGAGAACAAAGGAGGGATGTCCTGGGGTGGAGGGTGAGGGGACAGGTTACCCGCCCCCATACACACTACATCAGCTTCCAGGGGGCAGCCAGCCAACTGTTCGGCAGCCCAGCCCACTGAACCCCAGGAAAAGCTTCTAGCCTCTTAGTTCTCCAGCTGTGCCCCAGGGGCAAAAGTCGGCAGAAGAGCCCTAGGAGAAACTGGGAGTTCAGTGACGGCCCTGGCTGCAATGAACGGAAAGCTGCCTGCCACTCCTAGGTTCTAGCAAGAGGGTCATGTTTCTCAGAATCATGGAAATTTTTAGAGATCATTTTAGTCCAACACTTTCACAGATAGGAAAACTATGGGTTTAGGAAGGTGGTGAAGTGACTTGACTAAGGTCATAGGATTTATAGCTAGAAGGAACTTTATAGGTCTTCTAATTCATAGCACCCTAGTTTTAAAAGTAAGGAAACTGTAAGCCTAGAGAAAAGAAGTGGTCACTCAGTAAGTGTCTTGAGAAAGAATGCCAACCCAAGTCTTCCTGACTCTCAAGCGCAATATACTGAAAGTGACAGAGCTGACCCAGATTGGTTAACTCCAAATATAACATACCTTCCATTACACCGTAACTGTCTCAACCTGATTTGCAGTTTTGGAAATATGGGTTGGGGGATAAGTAACATTTGAGAAGTAACTCCGATTCTACCCAGGTCTAGCTGCCAGACTACTTTCTAAACATAATCATATTCCTAAGAAGATAAGGACCACATAATCTCTGTCACCTGACCTAGAAAATCTTCCACAATCTGGCTCATCCAACTTCTGTTTAAAGACCTTTAACTAGTAGAAACCCAGCACTTTCATAGACAGTTCATTCTACTTTGGGGACATTTCTTGGATTTTTCTGGAGTCACAAGCCGGGATTTAGTCTCAAGTATTCTGAGTTAATCCAATGCTCTTTCCACCACATCTTGAGCACCTTTCCTATTTCTCAATGGGTCACTTGAGAAATAAAATTAATTATGGTGTATTTATATTTAGGCTTGAGCTCCATTTCCGTAAGAGCTTTGCCATACTCAGATTGGCCATGTGGCAACATTTTACATCAGGAGGGAAATCTGTAGAAAATACTGCACCAGGTTTATGGCATTCGGAGAGTTCACATAAGGTAATGAAAGCCTGCAAAGTTCTATCCCCTTGATCTTACAGAATCATAAGATGTCAAACCTGAGATCAGCCATAAAAAGTTAGAGCTGGAAGGGACCTTAGAATGTAAAATGCAGAAGCTGGAAGTGCCCTTAGAATATAGAATTTTAGAAGAGAAAGTGACCTTAGAATGCAGAATATTAGAGCTGTAAAGGACCTGAGAACAGTTAGAGCCAAATCATCACGGTTCCTTTTTTTTTTTTTTTTAGTTTTTCTATTTGTTTATTGATAGAATCTCACAGTGTGTCTAGAGCCAAATGGGTCTTGGAAATCATGTCATGTCATCCAGTCCTTTTACTGATGAGGAAACTGAGGCCCATAGAGAGGAGGAACTTGCCCAAAACCAGTCCAGTGCTTTCCTCTCATGCATTTTGGGACAATTAATACAATGAAGATCAATTCTAATGTTTGTGTTAAATGCCTATGTGCAATGCTTTGTTCTACAGCCTACTGCAAATAATTATGACTCTCATTTCTACACCTTTTTAAAGTTCCCATTGTGTTTCCTTTAAAATACCCCTTGAGGTAAGATGGTACAAGTATTAGTAACATAGCATAAAAGTTAGGACCAAAAGGAACTCTAGAAATCATGTTGTCAAAACCCATCATTTTACAGAGTCCCAGAGAGATTAAATGAGTTGCCCAAATCCAACATGACTGATATTCTGACCAGTGTTTTCAGCTACGTTGTGTTGCTTCTTGCTTTTCCATTTCAATTCAATGCAATAGCATTTATTTGGGGGCTACTGTGTACTGGGCACTGGAGGGTGTTTGTTGTTCACTCATTCAGTCATGTCTGACGCTTTGTGACCCTATGGACAATAGCACACTAGGCTCTTCTATCTTCTACTGTCTCTCAAAGTCTGTCCAAGTTCATGTTCATTGTTTCTGTGATGCTATCTATCCATCTCATCCTCTGCCGTCCCCTTTTCCTTTTTGCCTTCAAATTTTCCCAACACCAGGGTCTTTTCCAATGAGTCCTGCCTTCTCATGTGGTAGTCGAAGTATTTCAACTTCAACTTCAGTATTTGGCCTTCCAGTGAATACCCTGAATTAATTTCTTTAAGTATTGATTGATTTGATCTCTGCTGTCCAAGAAATTTTCACCACAATTTAAAAGCATTGATTCTGTGGCACTCAGCTTTCCTTATAGTCCAACTCTCACAGCCATATACAGATGCTGCAGGCCTTTGTTGGCAAGGTGACATCTCTGCTTTTTAGTATGCTCTCTGGATTTGCCAGCGCTTTCCTTCCAAGGAGCAAGAGTCTTAATTTCATGACTGCAGTTGCCATCTGCAGTGATCTTTGAGCCCAAGAATATAAAATCTGACATTGCTTCTATTTCTTCTCCCTCTATTTGCCAGGAAGTGATTGGACCAGTTGCCAAGATCTTAGTTGGCTTTTTTTTTAGGTTTTTTTTTTAATGTTAAGCCTCAAGCCAGCTTTTATACTCTCCTCTTTCACTCTCATCAAGAGGCTTCTTAATTCTCCTTCACTTTCTGCCATCAGCTTGATGCCATCTGCATATCTGAGATTGTTGATTCTAACATATTCTCTGCATGTAATTTAAATAAGATCACAACATACAGCCTTCTTCATACTCCTTTTCCAATATTAAACCAATCAGTTGTTCTACGTTCGGTTCTAACAGTTGCTTCTTTGCCTGCATACAGGTTCCTCAGCAGACAGATAAGATGATCCTGGTACTCCTGTCTCTTTAAGGGCTTGCCACATTTTGTTGCGATCCACAAGTCATCCACATAGCTGCCCTGCTGGAGGATAGAGAGACCAAAGCGAAAACCAGTATCTGCCCTTAAGGAGCTTATATTCTACTGGAAAGTGGTGGAATACAACATCTGTACAGATGAATAAGAGCAAGATAATATGAGAAGAGAGAGAGTGCTGACAACTTAAGAGTATCATGGAAAACTTCCAGTAGGAAATTTTACTTGAAATTGAAGGAAGTTAACTATTCCAAGAGTCAAAGGTGAGAAAAGGTACTTTCCAAGCAAGGGAGATATCCTGTGCAAGGGTAGATGGGAGATTTAGTTTTGAACTCAAGGAACCTTAAGCTCCCTGGTTTAGAACAGAGAGTATGCAAAGGAGAGTAAGATGAAACATCTGGGGAAGCATTCTAGAGTCAAGTTTGGAAGTATTTTCAATGTCAAGCTCAGAAATTTGTAACTTTTCCCCCCTAGAACCAATAAGAAGGAAAATGAAGATACCTTAACAGGAGAGGGGGCATGGCTAGATGTGATTAATGAAGCTTATTTTGTCAGCTATGTAGAAGATGGATTGGAATGGGGAGAGACGAAAAGCAAGAAGCAGAGGAAATTGGGACAGCTAGGTGGCACAGTAGATAGCACACCAGCCCCTGGAATCAGGAGAATCTGAGTTCAAATCAGACCTCAGAAACTTACTAGCTGTGTGACCCTGGACAAATCACTTAACCCCAATTGCCTCCCCCCAAAAAAAAGAAGTACAGGAAATTACAGTAATAATCCAAATAAGAGGCAATGAGGGTCTGAATTAGGATGGTGGCGCTGTTGAGTGGGGACAAGGAAACAGATTAGGGAGAAGCTGTGACAGTAGAATTTACAAGGTTTGGCAACAGATTGAATATGGGCAGTTGTGAACAGGGAAGATGACTTCAAGGTTTCTAACTTGGGTACCTGGAAAAGGGGTACAGTCCTCAACAGGAATAGGGAATTTCTGAAAGGAAGTTTGGAGGAGGAGGAGGAACAGAATGAGCTGCATTTGAGGTGCTAATGAGACACTCAGTTGGAGATAACCCCAGGTAGATGGTAGTGTAGGATTGGAACTCAAGAGAGAGATTAGGGATGGATTATGTCTATGTGTGTATATATATGTATATGTGTGTATACACACACACATTTGGGAATTCATCTGCATGTAGATGATAATGAACCTAGGGAAGTAATTAAGATTACAGAAGAAAAGAGTATATAGAGAGACGAGCACACCAAGGCTAGAGCTTTGGGGAATTCTTAAAGTTTGTACAGAAGCCTAAGATCCATCAAAGGAGACTTTCAGTCAGGGTGCTGTTCAAAAGACAACCAGGAGAGGGGCAGCTAGATAGCGCAGTGGGTAGAGCACCAGCCCTGGATTCAGGAAGACCTGAGTTCAAATCTGGCCTCAGATACTTGACGCTTACTAGCTGTGTGACCCTGGGCAAGTCACTGTACCCCACTGCCTTGTCAAAAGAAACCAAAAAACAAAAAACTAGGGACAATCTTGTCAACAGAAACTGAGGGAGAAGAGAGTAATTAGAAGAAGGGGGGAGTCAAAAGCTACAGAGAGGTGAAAAAGAATGACTATGGAGAAAAGGCATCAGGTATAATCATTTAGAGAACGTCGTTGATAACTTTGAATAAGAAAGAAATGCCTTCATACAGGTGCTTCAGAGTAGTCAGCAGGTAACAATTATAATAATTAACTATTATGCCTGGCAGAATGTGAAAGTACAATAGACAATCTTTGTTAGTTCAGATGAGTGATAATACGTGCACCTAATGGCATCTTAGAAAGCGTCATCTGAGCTGGGTCTGGAAGGACAGGCATACTTAGAGATTCAGAGCTGGGGGAAAACCATTTGTCTGGGCACTTCTGGAGGGGTAGGACTATGCCCAGACATTGCAGTGGAAGGAATTCTAGGTTTGAAAAGAGCTCATACTGTATTTCTGTAGCACTTTTATAGGATTTAGAGCTGGAGGATTACCTTCAAGATCCTCTAGACCACTAACCTCATTTTACTGATGAGAAAAGTGGGATAATAGCTTCCACAATAATACAACAACAGCTATCACTGCATTTAATAGCATTTAGCTATTCAGGCACATAGTAGACACTAACAGACTGATAGCTATATAAATAGCATTTATATAGAGCTTTAAGTTTACAAAGTACTTTACAAATATTGGCTCATTTTATCCACACAACGATCCATGGAGGTACATACTATTATTATCCCCATTTTGCAGATGTAGAAACTAAGGCAGAGATAAAAAGACTTGCCCAGGGTCATACAGCCAATCCTTTCTCTGCTCTGGCTACTGACCTCCCTGGCTTTCTTTAAGTTTCAGCTAAAATCTTACCTTCTACACAAAGCCTTCCCTAAGTCCTCTTAATTCCAGTGCCTTCCCTTTGTTATGTTAATTATTTCCTATTTATCGTATATATAATATATATGTGTTTGTGTATGTGTGTGTGTATATATACATACACATATACATACATATATACACACACATACACACACACATATACATATCTTGTTTTGTATATATTTGTTTGCATGTTAGTCTTCTTCATTAGATTCCAAGTTCCTTGAGGGCAGGAATTGTCTTTTGGCTCTTTTTATTTCCCCAGCACTTAGTACAGTGCCTGGCACATAGCAGGCACCTAATAAATGTTGACTGATAGATTTAACAGTTGGGCTGATTCAAGCTAGCTCTAGCACACCATTGATTCGGTGTGCAAATCCAATACTCTTTCTACTCCACCATATAATTTCTTTTCACAAGACCAAAGCTCACATATATCATCTTCCTGCTGGAACACTGCATTTGAAATCAGAAGACCTGGGTACAAATCTATTACTACTATGACTTCACTCAAATCACTCTTCTTCTGAGGGCCCTCAGTTTCCCCATCTGAAATATGACATTTGAAATAGGTGACTTTTAAGGTATTTTTGAACCATAAATCCTGTGATCTTTTAATCCTAGTCTATCCCATTTCTCTTGCACTCAGTCTTTCCTCTATGTTGGGGGGGGGAAATCACAACTGAACACTTTATTATATGTACACCTTCCAGAAACAATTACTAATTTATCATTCTAATCCATGAATTGTTCTACTCAGAGAAAGAACCATCCCAGGCCCTCAGATGCATCTCCAATATGGGGCATTTTCAAAGTAGCATGAGAATGAACAAGGAAGATTCCATAATATGATAAAATGCAGTTACAGTAGCTCAGGATAAGGGAAAAAATTTTGTTTCATCAACCAGAATAATTCAATTAATCTTGGAGAATCATTTTTGCTAAAACCATTCAATCCCTCCATGACCATAACCCTTAAGGGTTATTCCCTTCTCCCCCTAAGACAGAGGTGGGAAACCTGCTGCCCTCTAGGTCCTCAAGTGTGGCCCTTTGACTGAATCCGAACTTCACAGAAAAAAAAAGTATTGGGTTTGCTATGGGAAGTTTGGATTCAGTCAAAGGGCCACATGTGGCCTTGAGGTGGTAGGTTCCCCACCCCTGCCCTAAGCTGATCAAAGTTTAAAAAAAAAAAGTCCCTCCTTCCAGGCCTGGGAAAGGGGGTTACTGCATTCAGGTTGCTCAGTCTGGACCACGTCCTATTCCTAATTGCTTCAGGGGAGAAGTCCTTTCTGGGTGGGTCAGAAGAATGGGAGCAGGACATTAACAGTTAAAGAAAGACTAATAAGATTTCTCTTTCAGGGGGCAGTTAGGTGACACTAGCTGTGTGATCCTGGGCAAGTCACTTAACCCCTATTGCCCCTTCACCTTCCCTGCCCACTCAAAAAAAAAAGATTTCTCTTTTAGATTAGTCAAGAAGATTCAGGCTAGAATAACTTTAAGATATTTTCTTAATTTTCAGAAAGGAAGGAAGGGTTATTTTCTTATACACCTGATACATAATCAGCCTTAAAATGCTCTTCCTGAATCAGTGGCCTACAGTTTGATAAAGTGAGCTGCAAGAGCTCAGTATACCTTCCTCAAATATTTTCCCCTCTACATTTGATTACAGAAATTCCACAATCCTGAGAGTCTTTCTTTTAGCCTTAGATTTCTTCCTCTGGTTATATGCGAAGACACCTGGGAGTGATAACCCATTGAGTTTTATCAGTCTTAGTACAGGATAGTGCAGGATTTCACTGAAGCTCAGAGTCTGAAAGAAACTGACAGGTTATCCAGTCTGAAAGAAAAAAGCATTCCTCCTGTATTTCTCAACAATACTGAGTTCTTATACCGAAAAGTTATTAAACTGTGCATAGCCTTTGAGCTACTGTGACAACTCCTACTACAGTGATAGCCGTATATTAGATACTATATATTACTACTACTGTGATAGGTACTACTGGTCTATACCCTAAAGAGATCAAAGGAAGAGGAAAAGTTCAAAATGTAGAAAAAATATTCATAGTATCTCTTTCTGTGGTAGCAAAGACTTGGAAACTCATCAATTGAGGGATGGCTGAACAAGATATGATTTATGGATGTAATAGAATAATGCTGTGCAGTAAGAACTGGTGAAGAGGATGGTTTCAGAGAATCCTGAGAAGACTTGCATGAACTGATGCAAAGTGAAGAGAACAGAACCAGAAGATAATTTATACAGTAGCAACATTATTGTAAAGACAAATAACTTTGATGAACTTTAGAATTCTAATGAATACAATGACCAACCATGATTCCAGAGAACTCATAATGAAATCTGCTACTCACCTCCTGGACTCAAAGTAAAGACAGGACCTTTTTTTTTTTTAACATGGCCAAAGGAGAAATGTTTTGTTTGACTGTACACGTTTGTAACAGGGGTTTGGTTTTGTTTTGTTTTTTCTCAATGGGAAGGCGGTGAGGGAGAGAAAGTGGATTTTTGTTCAATGAAAAAAATTAATTTATTATTTTTTTTTAAATCTTGAGTTCTTCAAGCATCTCTCCTAGAAAGAAAAGAATTTCTACTTGAGTTCCTGAACCCAGGCTCTTGAAGAGTGAATCTAAAAATTCATGCCTGATCAGAGGTTGATCCTATTTCTTGGATACTGGATCCAGAAGTTCCCAGTGTTGTATCCCTGCCTACAGTAACAGCCAGTCTTGGGGCCATGCAGTTAGTTACCTACAAGAGAGCTGTTCAGTTAAGCAGACTTCTCACAAAGCTGATTCCTGTACTGATCTCTCTCTCTCTCTCTCTCTCTCTCTCTCTTCTCTCTCTCTCTCTCTCTCTCTCTCCTCTCTCTCTCTCTCTCTCTCTCTCTCTCTCTCTCTCTCTCTCTCCCCCCCCCCCATTGGTCAGTCTCTTCCTAGTCCTTCCCCACTCTAATCTAATTAGCTATCCAATTGTTCTTCCTAAAGCACACACCTGACTTTATCACATTCCCTCTCCCCTATTCAATAAACTTCAATGGCTCCTGATTACCTCCAGAATCAAATAATAAATCCTCTGTTTGGCTTTCAAAACTCATTATAATCTTGCCTTTCCAGTCTTTTTTACACCTTACTCCTCTCCATTTATTCTGCAATCCGCTAATGCTGGTTTCCTTGCTGCTCCTCAAACTTCTGACTCCAAGCATTTTTACTGTCCATCTCCCATGTTTGAAATTCTCTTCATTCTCATCTTTCCCTTCTCACTTTCCTGTCTTTCTTCAAGTCTCAGCTTGAGCCCCACCTTTTTTATTTAAATATTTTATTTTTAGTTTTCAATATTCACTTACACAAGATTTTGAGTTTTTAAAATTTTCTCCTCCTTCCTCTCCGCCCCCCCAAGACGACATGTAATCTGATATAGGCTCTACTTATACATTCATATTAAGCATATTTTCACATTAGTCATGATGTATAGAGGGAGGAAACACAAGATGAAATAAAACAAAACAACAAAACAAAAGAAGAGCAAATAGCATGCTTCTATCTGCATTCAGACTCCATAGTTCTTTCTCTGGATGTGGATAGCATTTTCCATCATGAGTCTTTTGGAGTTGTCTTAGATCTTTGCATTGCTGAGAAGAGCCAAGTCTATCAGAGTCAGTCATAGCACAATGTGAGCCTCACCTTCTGCAGGGAGCCTTTCCTAGTCCTCCTGAAACTTCATTTTAAGTTTAATTTTTGGTTTTAATTCTGAGATTACCTCCAATTTCTCCTGTATATATCTTTTTTGTTCATGATTGTTTGAATGTTGTCTTCTCCATTAGACTGTGAACTTCTTGAGAACAGGGACTTTTCCCCCTCTTTTCTTTGTATCGCTAGCATTTAGCAGAATATTTGGCTCATAGTAGGCACTTAATAAATACTAGCTGATTGATTGACAGACACTTCAGGTGCGCTGAATTGGAGTTAACTATGGATTTTCAGGTTGAAATTTTAGCAGGCCATCAGAGTTCAATAGGTAGATTGGGGCTGGATTTGGTTGTCATTTGTAAAGAGCTGATAACCGAAGCCCTTCAAGCTGATGAATTTACTAGAGGAAGGAGTGGACATAAGAGAGAAGAGAGGACTCGGGAAAGAGCAGTGGGAGTGCTCACACTGGGTCAGAAGAAAAGGAAGATCCATCCAGGAAGACTGAGGAGCAGGGACAAGTGGGAGATGCAACAGAGAGCTAGCTGTTGAACTGAAGCCATATTCTTCCAGGTCTGTCTGCTTCATTTCCAATTCAAGAGGCAGCTCAGAGCATCCAAAGACATGATTCAACTCCTCCATGGGATATTAAAAGGCAAACAATCACCCAGGCACACAACACACCCAATTGAAAAAGTGATCCTCAGTGGAGGTCCATACTTTCCACAGGGAGATGCCTGAAAGTCCAGAGCAAAGGCTTTATACTTGAACCTTATTAAGTCTCTCATCTACTCTTGATAAGGGTAGGTAGATGGCACAGTGGACAGCACTGGACCTAGAATGAAAAGGACCTGAGTTCAAACCCAGCCTCAGATACTTACTATCTGTGTGACCTCAGCAAGTCACTTAACCCTGTTTGCCTCAGTTTCCTCTTCTCTAAAATAAACTAGAGAAGGAAATGGCAAATTACTCCAGTATCTTTGCCAAGAAAACCCCAAATGTGGTCAGGAAGAGTGGGACATAGCTGAACAAGTCCTGGTATTTCATTTGGACAATTCAGGTTAAAGCTGCTGCAGTTGCTCATGGTGACCCTCCCAGCCTTAAAGCTTCTTCAAAATCCTGTGGATTTTGACTTTTCTTCTGACTAGTCTAAATAAGTCAGACTTAAGCAGCTCTTTAAAACTCTAAATGTGAATCCACCTTGGTAGAAGGTATGATCATAGTTGGGAATTCCCTAATCCAATGAAATCACCAGCCCAGCCCCTACCCACCCCTCTCTAACTAGGCAGATTGCAGACTGCTGATTTGACTATGACTAGCACATCAACAATGACTCATTTCCTTTCTCTTGAGATAGAATTAGTATCAGTTTTTGAAATTTAAAAAACTTGATGCTAATTTTAAGGAAGGAGGAGTTAATGACGGTGCCTTACTTGACTTTGTGGCCCTCACAGCACCTGGCACAGTGCCTTGAACATAGTAGGAGATAAATATTTGCTAATTGACCATAGAAACAACAACCAAAAATAAAAGTGATAACTTTAAAGATGAGATAACTATTTCTTTTATCTCTTTCATGCCCTTCTATATTGCAGATCTTTTAAAAATTGGGAGGGGGTATAGGAGCAGGTAGGTGGTATAGTGGATAGAACACTGGCCCTGGAGTCAGAAGGACCTGAGTTCAAATCTGGCCTCAGGCACTTGACACTTACTAGCCATGTGACCCTAGGCAAGTCACTTAACCCCATTGCCTAGCCAAAGAAAAAAAATTGGTGGGGGGCTCAGTAGAGTCAGTGATATTAAAACACTGCATATCACCAATGGTCATCATATACATATGGCATTTTCCAAGTCTCTTAAGGAAAAAAAATTTGTGGCTCTAGAGATAATATGGAGCCACTAGATTTTAATGAATAGGGGGGGTGATGTGATCAGATCAGTGCTCAAGGAAAATCATTTTTTAGCACTTAGCAGAGTAGTAGGCACTTAATAAATGTTTACTGATCGACTGAATGTGACAGCTGAGTGGAAAGATGGACTGGAGTGGGGAGACACTTGAGACAAGAAAACAACCAACAGACTTCTTTGGTCGTTTCCCATGTTTATGTCTTGTTTCCCTCTCTGGACTGTAAGATCTTTGTTTCGGGGACTTTTCTCTCCCCCTCAGAATTCAGTGCAGTGTTGGGCCCACAGTAGAATGTCTCCTGATTGACTTTGTTTTCTGAACTTGGGATCTCATTCTTCGAGGTCACTCCAGTGACACGGACCAGCAGCCTCTCTACGTCTTACCCTTAGAAAGTTGGGGGAGGAGGATACCTCCCCAATTGAACCTGTCGATGACTCGTCCAAGGTCACCCAGCCACTATGGGTCAGAAGTATAACTTCAGCCAAGCCTCTATCCATAACACAAGAGTATTCATGAAATATTTGGCAGCTTAGTGGCTTGTTGGATAGAGTGCTGGAATTATCATTAGGAAAACTCGAGTCTGAATCCTGCCCCAGATGCTTACTAGCTGTATGATCTGGGCAAGTCACTCTGAGCCTCTCTATCTGTAAAACAGGGATTAGTAATAGCACCTACCTCCCACAGTTGTTGTGAGAACCAAATGAAATAATGTGTAGAAAATGCACTTTGTAAACCTATAAAGGTTAGCTATTATTATTTAGTGAATGAATGGATATTAACAAGAACAACTGATGTTTTCTTTAAGGTTTGGGTTGGACAAACACAACCAAACTGGAGAATGAGTTTGAAAACCACTTCCCCAAGCTGGCTCTCTTGTGGCAGGTCTCACTGAGACAGTGAACACAAAACATGTTGAAGATGTGCCCCTGAAGGTGGGAACATCTGCCCATATATCTTCTCTCCTTTCATATGTTCTGACAGACATGAGGGCACATTCACATTCAAAGAAAAAAGTTGCCATGGATTATTTATTTCTGCCATGCTGCTGTAACACAGCCTCAAACAGTGGCAGATTACCTCTTCTTGAGTCCCAAGATGCTCACTATATGACCTCTTAGGTATCCTTATTGGATCCTTTCCTTAGCTCACATTTGCATTTATACAGCCTTGTCAGGTTCACAGGTTTTCCAGTATTTTATCTCCTTTCATTTTTTTTTCTCCTGACAATTCCTTTGTGGCAGCTAGAATGGGCAATGGCCATTAAACAGACAGGGAAACTGAGGTTCAGAGAGATGAAATAATGTAGAGTGGCTTTTGACACCAGAAAGGTACTAAAAGGTCATTCCAGATTATACAAGGACTGACTCCCTAAGAGGTTTTCTTGAATATGGGACAATCATAAAAGAAAGAATGCCTTTGAAAGAGATTCATAGACTGTCAGAGCTTGAAAGAACCTTAGAACAATGAATATAAAATGTTGGAGCTGGATGGGACCATGGAGATCAGCTAGTCTAAGCTTTTCATTTTAAGGATGTGGATATTGAGGCCTGAGGTGGTGGGGGCATTCTGAGGATCACATAGTCATTGGCAGAGCTTATATTCAAATAGAGGAGAATAAAGGAAAACCCTTCATTTAGGCACCCTCTGCCCAATACCTAACTTAGTCAGTCCTCTCTCCCTTTCCCCCCTCCCCACCAAAAGAGGAAAGAAAGGTTTTACAAAGGAAAGCATAGAAAATGACCACAAACAGACACTGCCCATAATTTCATATCGATAATCTGATGTGAACATATTTTCTGACAATCTGTCCGTGTGGTCATTATAACTGACATTATTTTCTGGGTAGAGAAATCTCTACCTTAAATTTCTTGAGCAAAGGAAAAAGAAAGGAAGAACAAGAAAAGTAGGACTGGGCAGATCTGTGGACAGTATCGATACTGCACAAAACACCATAGTCTTCCTTGCTAGAACTCAGGCCCATCTATTCCTTCTTTCTTTGTCAGGTTCAAAGATGTGGAGGATTGAGTTATCTTCTTTTTCTGTCTGTGCTAGGTAGATACTCCATTCAGGCCAATAATCATATGCCTGTGATCTTTTCCAGTGTAAGGTATTTCCCTAAAGTAGGCGGGCTTGTTCTCTATCTTCTCACCCTGATAGAGTTGTGACATGGTGGCAGATGTTAGAGAAGCTGGCTTCCAATCCCATCCTGCTCTGCCACTTACTACCAGTTACAAGTTCTTTCCCTCT